TGGAGGAGAGAATACAAGAGCAGGAATAGGAGAGTTGTAGAGTAAAGCTGGGTACACACTATAAGAAAATTTGAAGAAAAATTTTGTATGAGGAACGATTTTTCAATTTTGGTATAGTGAATACGCAACTTTTGACATCCAATTCAGACTTTCCAAACAAACATTTCCAAAGGGAAATACTCCAAGATGTTTCTCGTAAGTGAACACAACGTTCGATTTTCGCTCAATGTTTACAGTAATCATATGGAAATAATCAAATAGAGAAAAACGCACACGATCAGAAGCAAAGGACAGCCCAAGAGAAAGTGGCAACAAACATATAAATCATACACCATTGTAGGTTACATCATGATATGCACCTTCGTCATCTTTGTGGAAAATTGGATGCCCAGTTGTCTGATTTTCTCATAGTGTGTACCCAGTTTAAGGGAAGAGAGGGAAGTAGTTGCAGAGAAGAAGTAATCAAACTGGAGGATGCGCACAGATGATAAATTAAATGGATACCAGAGAACAACTCCAGCAAAAATAGAACAACAGCAGAAGCTAGAGAACTGGCATACAGGAAGAGAAGTAGAATTTTGTACATTGTGTAAAAAGGAAGAATAGGAAGCAGAAACCAAAAGGAAATGTATCGAGAAGGAAAAAACTAAAGGTAAAGTGCAAGAAAAAGGATAGTGGGTAAATGAGGACAGTTACCTGCAATGTGTCACATGAACATAGACTAGAAGCTTTGACTACTCAATGATATTGCACCAATGGAGGAGTCTCATCATGTAACTGCAGTACTGAAGATTTCCAAAAATTCTTGGAACACAACACAAATGCAAGTGGACTCAATCCCCTCACAACCTTTGATAATTATAAATATATTAGTAGTTCTTCCTCAGCTGGAAGAGGCTCCCTGACTTGTGGTAATTCATAGCTTGTCTGCTCTCACAGTTCTTTGGTCCAATCATTGGAACATAGAGGTTGCACCCTGAAAGTAGGGTACACTGCTGCGCACACAAACATCCATCTATACACAAAGCACAGTGCCTGCAGAGCTGCACTTGTATAACTACAGCAGAACTTGGAGATCCTTGTCTCTCATTACTCCAGCTGACCCCAGATTATTGTCTAATCAGCTCTTATTTCCACTAGCCTGCTGCATCTTCCCCTGTCTCTCAGATACATTCTGCTCACCTTTCTGGTCCCCCTTCTGTTTCCCTATATACAGGTGAATCGAGTGCTGAAGAAGGGTCCTACAAATAACAGCTTGGGCATATTGCAGTGCATGAGAAAGCAGCATTTTTTATCATGGTCAGTGATGTCTCATCCTTATGTGGGTATATCTCATGCTACTGAAGGGTGATAATTATTATAAACTATAGAGTTCTATTTCTCTATATTATGAAAATGTATCACTTTACTGTGGTCCATGACAGAGAGGTAAGCCAAAACACTAATTCTACCAATCTGGAAATACCACAGCACTACAACCACCACTAACTGCAATTTTTGTCATGTGGAGTATAAAGGAAGCTATCATAACTTATGAGTTCATAATTTAGATTGACATTGATAAAACTTTGGATAGCTGCACATACAGGAGCATGGGGCACCAGTCCATTCCCTCGCTCCACCATGCCCTCCAACCTGTTTTCTTTTCTATGCATATAGTCCTTTAAACCACACTCTTCTCCACTGGGAGCACAAAAATTTGGTAGAAACCATCCTTAACCAATTCAATACTGGGCAATTTTACACCTTCCTGCCCAGGCCAGTTTTCAGGTTTCAGCGCTCTAACACTTTGAATGACAATTGCGTGGTCATACAACCATGTACCCAAACTAAAATTTTATCATTTTCTTCACACAACTAGAGCTTTCTTTTGGTGGTATTTAATCACCGCTGGGGTTTTTATTTTTTGCTAAATTAACAAAAAAAGACCAAAAATTTTGAAAAAAAAAAAGTTTTTCTTTGTTTCTGTTATAAAAGTTTGCAAATAAATAATTGTTCTTCATAAATTTAGGCCGAGATGTATTCTACTACATGTCTTTGGTGAAAATAACCCAAATTAGGATGTATTTTTTAGTTTGTAGGAAAGTTATAAAGTTCACAAACTATGGTATATATCTGAATATTAATCAATCCTGAAGTACTCACAGCCAATCGAATTTCTTGAGGTCCAAGAATATCAGAACAGTACAGATATCCCCCAAATGACCCCGTTTTGCAAAGTAGACAGTCCAGGTTTTTTTTTTTTTTTTGTGTGCTTAGCTGTGATTGACATGTACATGTGATTAGCTGTGACCATTCACAGCTAGGCAGTAGTATACAATGGATGGCATGAATGAAGCCATCCATTGTATACAACTGTCATGTGACCTGCTGTGATTGGTCACAGCAGGTCACATGGTACTGGCAATGGGGCCGATACTCAGATCTGTCATCGGCCGCGTCCGAGGTACACGGCCGGTGACAGATCGCGCCGCTGCGCCGCTCTGCAGGAGCGCAATCTGCGCATGTGTGGGAGGACGCCATATGGCGTCCACCCGGAATGCTGATGACATTTGCCGCCCACCATTCGGCCATAGGGCGGGCGGCAAATGGTTAATATGGTATTGTATTGTAAACAGCCACATAAAAATAGATAGTAAAATAATAATGACCATAGAAAAACATGAGCATGGGATTCCATGGGGATTCTTACCAAGACATAATTTATTTTTAAAGTTTATACTCTCAGATCTAGAACACCTGAACATATTTTAGATGTGTTTGGGGTACATATCAAGTTAAATACCTCAAAATAAATTATTTTAAGTGCAGGTCAATGGACCAAAAATGTTTCAGTTCATATTATTTCTATTTCATATCAGTGCAATGCATTTAGTACTAGCATATCCACTAATTAGCATTGGGTGGTTTTTGCACTTTTTTCCTGCAGGAAATGACCATTCTGCTGTGTAAATAATGTAATAATGCAGATTGGTATGAATGAGCTCTTTTTACCAGGATTGCAGCTGTTTCCTCCTTTTCAGCTTGTCATTGCTCTCATAAATTCTGTGAGTATTGCTACTGGTTGTATGATGCTGTGGTATGTTGTCTGTGGCTGATTTATAGGTGTATCAAACTAAACACAGGATAACGCAAAGATCACATTTTTACCAGTAGCCTACCATCAATCTTAGTTCTGGAAATGTTTACTGCTATGTGGCTAAATTCTTACTCGTACTTCTTAATTAGAGAATTATTCAGCAAGCAAGAAATGGAACGCATGTATATAAGTACGGTAACTGTATGTGTTCTTCTATAGTGAAAAGGGTGAAAAAGAATTACAAGTCACAGTTATAAAGACACATACTATTGCAGAAGAAAACAAAAAGATTAGTATACTGTTGCTGGGACATGTGAGGTACGGAAGGACAGATATCTAAGCACTTGTCATTATAGGTGACATATCTGTCTATATTACTATTGTATATGATCATAACATAATGTTAGTGATCACTAGTCACCTTTTTAGAACACCACCATTGCAGTAACCAAGACTGGCTTAGGTAGATCAAAGCATTCAGCATTCAACACTTTTCGTTCTTTGATTTAGGGACCTGCAATATGATTGAATTATAAAAAATAATAAGTCATTAACAGTGGAATGGTGCAAATCTGAGAAGAGGGTCACTGTGCCTACATGATTTTTATAAAAATTTTCAATGCTGCTGGAAACTTCTTAAAGCAGGCCTGTACAAATTTCTCCTTGAATCTGGAACCTGGAGCCAGCTTAAAGAGTTATGAGCCAGCAAAATACAGTCGTCAAACTACTCAGTCTGATTCTATTGACACACAGTAAAATATATGTGTGCAAATGTGTCAATGAAAAAGCTTGTAACACATTGGGAAGTATTGGGCCTCACAACTGTGATTATAGAGCAGTTACCTTAACACTTCAATCAGGTAAAACTGATGAAAGTGTGAAATTCAATGTCTATAGTACATGGCTGTCTGTTTTGCAATGCTTCATTACATTGTGCAATGCTTCATTGTTATTCAACAACAGCTTGGGTGCCGAGGTTGCCTACCTCTGATATAGAGTATAAAACATTGGTCCATCCAATGAGGCCTGCTCCCAGGACACCCTAGAAAATATTGGGCCTGACACTAAAGATTATGGAGTATAAAGCACTGGTCTCCCCAAGGGAGTAATGAAATCAATACTAATGCTAGCCATACACTGGTTGAAAAATGTCAAAGCGCGTTTCTGAAAAGCGAACACACAGTCGTGAGAGCAAGCGCTATTGCCATCATGTAATGACCGATTTTCAAACAATAAATTGTTCAATGGACATAAATGAGTACATTTTTCATTTGTTTTGTCACATATGCGCAATACAAACATTTGATTTTTAAATGGACGAGAAACACATTAACCTTTCAGTTTATCCTCTGTCCGGGAGAAGTGTTCCAAACTTTTCCTTCAATTCTTTGGTTCAAAAACTACACTACCGATTTTCGATTTGTGCCCATTAACTGGGCGAAAAACGAATGAACTGTCCAAATGACAGATTTTTGAATGTTTTTTCATCTATTGTATGGGCACCATAACTATTTCAGCATATCAGATAAGCAAGAATAGAAAACTAAGCACCAGACCTGATGCTGGAGAATATGGAGTATGATGCACAGGTGCAGAAGTTTAGTGTACTCATCACTCTGATCCCAGGACACACAAAGTTATGATCCCAATATGGATTGTCAGCTGTTTTTATTTCAGACACTTCCTAGTGATGACTGGAGAAATGCCAGTCAATAAGACTGCAAAAAAAGACTTCAGTGACCACATCATCAGTATATAGTTGCCATTGTGACCTGACGACCGAGGTTTATCAAGCACTGTCTTAAAGTATAATTATTTATGTTGGATAAAATTATTATTACTAAAGCTACTTATTCATAAAATACTGTATCTATACATATAAAAAATGTTATTTTTTCAGCAGGATAACAAGCTTCCTTACTTGTAGAAGAAAATCAAAAAGTGCCATTTTGGACCACTCATGGTGATGGACGTCTGGACAGCCCAGGTCTGCCTTTGGAGTTTTTCCATTTAACCAACACTTGTGGGAAAGGATTTTTTGGTAGGTTTTCCACTTAAGTTTGACAGATGACTGTGTGATGTTATCAGTAGGAGACAAGGAGGAATCCCAAAGTATAACTGGACATGGCAGGATGTCTGAAAAACAAAAATGCACATATAGAATATATTTTACTATGCTTATTTCAGACTGGGTAAATGGGGACTCCAGATACTGCCATTAGCAACAATTCACATTTCAATGTTAGCCAATTATGTTATCATCATTATTTAGGGCTTGGTGACTCCATGTGCAATGACTTGTGTTAAACTGCACAGATCAATGAAAGCTCACAGCAAGGGCATATAGAAAATTATTGACTTGCTGCATTTTTTTTGGACACCAACCCCCACGCTAAAATAGCTTGTTTTGGCATGAGCACTGATGAGAAAGAACCTATGTAGTAGTGAACGTATTCTTTATGAGTCTATTGTGAATGAAACCAAAGGTTTCTATGAAGAAATGACATGATCTGATGATTAGAATGGATAGCACACAGCACTAGTATAGTGCGAAGCGCGTCAAATATCTCTTCTCCCCCTACTGTGATTTTATATTTTTGTACCCAAGTTTGATAAAGTCCACAAGGCAGCCATTCATTTCTATAGTATGCACTTTTACAGAGTGGTGGAGCAGTGGATAAATCTGGAGAAGCACAAATGCCTGGAGAGGTGTAAATCCTAGACTCATATAGGAGCAAATTCTAAGAACCCCAAGAATAAGACTGCACTTCTTAAAGCTGAACTATGGGTAGAAATTTTTATGCTTTTTCTTTTTATCACAAAGTCATTTATTGTAATTGTAATGCTGTAGCTACTGCCAAATCACTCCTTGTACCCTACATAATAAGGCACTTAGTCCCCTATTTCCTGTTTGTACAATCAATAACTGCTGTGCCCACTCCTTTCCTGGCCACAATCATGTAGCATCTTACTGTTGTACTTTTGCTAGAAATTACATTGCCTCTGACTTTAGTGAGTAGACCCAGAAGTCTCGGACCCACCCCTAACATGGCTGATTTTGATTCAAAAGCCAGGGCAATGGAGTTTGAAGGAACATGGACAGGGCCAGAATGGAAAAACAGTTTTACTTCCATCTTCCACCCTGGCAGCTAGCATTCCCCTATGCCCAGCAGGGTTGCCAACCATCAGTAAACTTACTGACAGTTCGTAAAAAAACTGTGATTTTTTTTTTTACAGCTGTCAGTAAATGTATGTTAGAGAGATTTTATGTCAGTAGAAATCAGTCCTTTTTTTCAGGCAGGTTAGTTTGGGCTTGGCAAGTGTAGGAAAGAACCCCTTGACAGCTTGATGCAGCACCCATAGTCATTTATCCAGACAGAGTTTGGAGCCAGTTGGGATTATTTTTAAACAGTAGCAAGCTGGAGCCGGCGGCAGAAGGAGCAGGCGGACACATTTCTCATTCCTGCTCCTCAAGTTCTGGCTGTGAAATGATCTCAACTGTGCTCCGATTGCCGCCTCTTTGCATAGACAGGCAGTTGGAACCTGGTACTTGCCTGGCAGCAACAGTTCCTGAAGCCTGTGCGCTGAGTAACCTATCCTTCTCTTCTGTAGCCGTACTTCTCTATCAGGTACTGTCAAGGACGGGGATTTGGGGGGTGGGCGTAGATCACTGTACTGGGGGTGGGGGCGATTTGGGAAAAAAGGGGACACTACTGTACTCAGCACTCTGTATGCAGCACATACAAGTCAAACATTTGGCTTTGCTGCTGATGTGCAGCCCCATTGAGCTCAACAGGCTCATTTTGCCAGGTGATGCTGCATGTGAAACTTGACATGTCGAGTGAAAATCGCCACACTATATAGCTAAGCACCTAGAACATGGAAATCTGTACTCACCCAAAAATCTACTATGCTCATTTAGAGGTAGGTGGTCAGGGACTGATTCTCTTTATTCATTCTCTTTTAGGCCACTTCCAGCATGAAACACAATCTGGACATACCCACTGTTCTCTTTGGCATGCATAACAGACCTTAATTCTGCAGAGTGGCTGATAATTTGTCATGCTGTGTTGACTTTTTACATGTACCCCAGGTCAATTACCTATTATGGGTATTGTCAGTGTTTACAGATTGTATTTATACCGTTTAAATATCTATTGTTTCTTATAGGAGTTCTATCATTTTTTCAGATTGTCAGTAAAAAAAAGGTGCTCCGTCAGTAAAAAAAAGTTCATAACAATAGCTTGACAGGTCCCATATAATATTAGTAATCTGGGAACCCCTAATCAAATATCTATATAAACCAAAAACAAAAAGGATTAGTTAACCAGATTTAGTGTTTTTTTAATAGACCATATATTAAATGTAAATCTGTGGCCAGAACATATAAACAACTCCCTTAATTGTACATGCATATAGACATACAAAATATAATAAAAACATCTTCACGAGCCTCAGATGTTCCTGTAAGGGAGACCCTAGACACTATATACTGCATGTGTTGGTAAACCATATAGACTTTGTGAGGTGCAAATATTTACAATATATGTATATTCATAGTTTACATGACTCCCAGTGTCCATTATGGCCGTTTTTGCCAGATTATCCGGCTGCCACAGCCTGCAGCCAACATCAGCCTACCTCTGAGGGAGGTCACTTTGAAGATGTATACATTAGAGGAGATGGTATATATGGTATCCTCCTCTGGACTACATGTTTTGATTACATTTGGAATGAATCATTGCCACCATTTCTCTTGGATTACAGTTTTTATTGGACTGTATATCTTTGGAGGAAAATCATCCATACTTTCCATATGGGATATACTAGATTTGATGAATAATGGTTACTGGGAGTCATGTAAACTATGGCTATACAGGTGCATCTCTAAATTAGAATATCATTAAAAAGTTAATTTATTTCAGTAATTCATTTCAAAAAGTGAAACTCATATATTATATAGGTTCACTACACACATAGTGATATATTTTAAGCATTTCTTTCTTTTAATTTTGATGATTACGGCTAAGAGTTAGTGAAAACCCAAAATTCAGTATCTCAGAAAATTACAATATTACATATGACAAATAAAAAAAGTATTTTTAATACAGAAATGTTGACTTACTGAAAAGTATGTCCATGTACAGTATACTATGCACTCAATACTTGTTAGCGGCTCCTTTTGCATGAATTACTGCATCAATGCTTGTTGGAACCAATGACAGAACACATGGAAGGCGGCGGCTCCTTAAGAATCAATTTACATAACTAGGCTGCAAGTTGAAGAGAAGGACCTCCAAGGTGATATTCTCTGGAAAGACGGGGAGATGAAAGAACTCAATGCGTGGCTAAAGATCTGGTGTAAGAGGGAAGGATTTGGGTTTCTAGAGCACTGGGCCAACTTTTAATTGGGATGCAGCCTATATGGTAGAGATGGTTTGCACCTAAATGGAAGGGGGTCTGCTGTGCTGGGAGGCAGGTTTATGGGAAGGCTGGAGGAATATTTAAACCAGGATCGAGGGGTCAGTACTTATTGGTGTGTGGAATGGGAAAAGATGGAGGGGAGGGCTATGGTAGATGATAAGAAGGTTTCCATGTTACAAACAACCAGTAGAATTGGTACCATTTGTATGAAAATAAAAAAATATGCAAAATACGTGTGCACAAGGTGTCAATGAATTAAAGTGTTTGTTCACCAATGGCAGATGTCTGCCAAGCAAAATAGGTGAGTTGGAAGGTTTGGCGCATGAATAGAACTATGATTTAATTGATATTGCTGAATCTTGACTTCATTTTTCACATGACAGGGCCATTAATATTCCTGGCTATGTTCTCTTTCAGAGAGACAGGGTAAATAGGAAAGGTTGTGATGTCTGTCTCTATGTGAGAAGTGATCTCAGAGAAAGTGTGAAAGAGGACCTAGTTGATGGAGAATGTAATGAGGCTGAAGCATTATGGGTGGAACTGCACATGGGGGTGCGTACTACAAAGGTAATCATTGGAGTTTGTTATAGGCCTCCCAGTGTTAATGAGGAGGTAGAGACTCAGCTCCTTGCACAGATCGAAAGGGCTACAAGGGACAGTGATAATAATGGGGGATTTTAATTACCCGGAAATTGACTGGAGTAATGGTACTGCAGGAACAGTTAAAGGGCAAACATTTTTAAATCTACTACAGGACAATTTTATGGTACAGTTCATAGAGGCCCCAACTAGGAATGATGCTCTGCTGGACCTGGTAATCTCAAACCATGTAGAGTTTATTACGAATGTCCATATAAAAGAACATCTGGGTAGCAGTGACCATAACTTCATTGAATTTATTGTTAGCTGTAAACAGCAAGCACATATGGGAAAAAAATACGCTCAATTTTAAGAGAGCTAATTTTCCAAGGCTGAGAGCTGCTCTCCAAGACTTAGACTGGGAGGGAATATTGGCATCAATGAACACAACACAGAAATGGGAGTTCTTCAAAAAGACTGTATGTGAACACACTGCAAAATTAATTCCCATGAGCAAAAAGGTTTAAAAGGCTAAAAATCAAATCTATGTGGCTTACCGCCAAAGTTAAAAAAGCTATAAATAATAAGAAAAGAGCTTTTATTAAATATAAAAATGAAGGAACGCTATCATCGTTTAAACATTACAAAGAATATAACAGAATATGTAAAAATTGAAAACAAACGACAGATTGCAAAAGATAGCAGGACCAACCCCAAAAAATTCTTCAAATATATTATTAGTAAAAAAGATTCGGTCCGAGCATGTAGGCCCTTTACAAAATAATCTAGAGTGGGTGACTGGGGACAAAGAGAAGGCAAATTTATTAAATACCCTTCTTCAGCTCTGTGTATACAAAAGGACCATGGGGGAGCTCTTGTCCATAATGGGCATGGTATTGACACAGCTCCAGATGATCTACATTGGCTCACAATTGATATGATCCAAAAATATTTAGACAGAATAAAGGTCAATAAAGCACCTGGACCAGATGGCATACACTCACGGGTCCTTAAATAATTAAGCTCTGTAATTTCAGAGCCATTGTTTCTAATTTTTAGGATTCTTTAATGACTGGCATAGTACCACTGGATTGGTGCAAGGCCAATGTGGTGCCAATATTTAAAAAGGGGTCAAAATCTTTACCA